CCCCAAAACCCCAAAACCCCAAAACCCCAAAACCCCTTCAAAAATACGTATTTTAAAGTTCTATAAAATTAAATTAGGAAATGAAAATATTCACTCCTATCCTCGCCCTAATCTTTGTGGTGGGTCTAGCTAATGCTGCCTTTGCCGACGATTTGGTTACAGAAATGCCAGATTGTCCTAAGTTCGACTTTGATATGTACTCAGGATACCTTGACGTCAATGCAAACAAGAGTCTGCATTATGTACTTGTTGAAAGTCTCGGAGATCCAGCCAATGATCCAATTCTCATGTGGTTCAATGGTGGCCCAGGATGCTCTTCAATGCTAGGATTTATGCAGGAGAATGGACCTTGCATTATTGATGATGGTGAGAATTTTGTCAAAGAAAATCCATTCCCATGGAATGAGAAAGCTAATGTTTTGTACCTTGAAGCTCCAGCCGGTGTTGGATACTCCTTTGCGAGAAACAAGGAAGATATGGAATCAAACGATCTCCAATCTTCTCACGAAAACTTGCAAGCTTTGAAACAATTCTACAAAAAATTCCCTGAATACCAAGAAAACGACCTATTTATTTCTGGAGAGAGTTATGCTGGAATTTATGTTCCAAATCTTGCTTATAGGATCCATCAGCACAACACTATGTCAAAGATTAATAAGAGGACTCCAATCAACTTGAAGGGTATTCTCGTTGGAAACGGTGCTACAAAGTGGGAGTACGATACAACCCCATCTTACCTCGAGATGGCATATAACCATCAATTAATGGATACTGAACTTCACAACACCTTTGTTGAGAATGGATGTGAATGGTATTTCAGAGATGTTCTCCCAAGAAAAGCCAATGAAGCCTGTGAGAAAGCAAAGAAGACCTTCGATGAAAACACGAAGAGAATCAACTGGTATGATATCTACAGAAAAGTCTATGATGATGGAGGCATTAACAAAGAAAGAGTCGGTAAAACTATCATTGATGGTGAAGAGAGATACTACCCAAGAGGTTACAAGATGACTGATTATACTCCTTGGCTCGAAGACATTTACGGTGAATCTGCTCCTATCTTGGGAGATTATGTTTCTGATTATCTCAACAGACCAGATGTGAGAGATGCTTTCCATATCAAGAAAGAAATTCACACTTATAAAGCTTGTGCCGGAGGAGACTTAACTTACCACCTTCAGAAAGAAGGATCCCACTGGATCTACCATATTTTAAAATCTAATGGAATTAGAATCCTCAAATTCTCAGGAGACACCGATGGAGCTGTCCCTACTTATGGATCCCAACTCTGGATCAGAGATCTTGGATGGGATGTTGTCAAGGATTGGCACGCTTGGCTTGTCGATGACCAGGTTGCTGGATACCAAAAAGAGTATGACGGACTCACCTTTGCTACTGTACACGGAGTTGGACACATGGCTCCACAATGGAAGAGAAAAGAAGTTACCCAACTGATCAATGACTTTATTCACGGTGAATAATCAGAAAACAACTCTTTATCCAATTTTTTCAGGTTAATTAGGGGTTTTGGGGTTTTGGGGTTTTGGGGTTTTGGGGTTTTGGGG